GAACAGGTTCCACTTCAAAGCGTAGGCGTGTCTCGTAGACGGTGCTCTCGCTGAAGTGATGGTGTCAACTACCTCTTGGGGTAAGTCACCTAGAACCTCTGCGTCCCGTCCAGGGACCAGACATGAAGTTTCCAGAGGTCTGGATGCGGGTGCCACAGGGTGCCCTGTCTCAGTAGATCAGTAGTCAGTCGATCCTTCCTCAGAGGAATCTGCCGAGGGGCTGTCACAAGGAGCATAAGTTCCGGGAACCAAGTCCGAGTGGGCCAGTAAGGCGACACGAGCGGGACCTGCTCCTCGTTCTCCCTGATCTTGCACAGTGTCTGTGCAAGAAGGCTCACTGGGGGAAACATACTTGCGAAGGCCCCGCGGCCAGCTGTGTGCCAAGTGCGTCCGTGCCGAGTGTTCCCTCGGCCAGAGAGTAGAACAACTGGCAGTGAGAGGTTTCTGGAGAGGCAAACAGGTCTACCTGAGCAGCTTCGAAACGACTCCAAATCAACTGGACCGTCTGGGGATGGAGTCTCCATTCTCCCAGGAGTGCAGCTCGTGACAGCTCGTCGGCTGCCCGGTTGTGCAGACCAGGAATGTGAATTACCTTAGATGCTTCTGACTCCAAAGGAGGAGGTGGCGGGCGAGTTGCAACATGTGACGGGAGCGTAGACCACCTTGTCGGTTGATGTACGCAATGGTCGCATTGTTGTCCGTGCGGACAGCACACGCTTGCCTCGTAAGCGCCTCTTGAGACGGCTCAAGACCAGGCATACTGCCAGCAACTCTAGGCAATTGATGTGCCAGTGCAGTTGGGGGCCCGTCCAAACCCCCGACACTGAAAGCCCGTCCTCCGGTGGTGGAGGCATCTGTGTAAACCACGCCTTGCCTGGAGACCTGTTCCAGGGGCACTCCTGCCCGGAGAAACGAAGGGTCTGACCACAGGGTGAAGGTTTGGCGGCAGGCCGGTGTGACTCGGACCCGGTGAGTGCCGCGTAGCCACGCCCACCTCAGGACTCGGCCATAGAGCCAGTGTTGTCTGACCACGGGGTGAAGGTTTGGCGGCAGGCCGGTGTGACTCGGACCCGGTGAGTGCCGCGTAGCCACGCCCACCTCAAGACTCGGCCATGGAGCCAGTTTTAAAGCAGTGTCATATGAAGCAGCCCCAGTGGCGTGACTGCCCCAGGAGCCTCTGAAACTGTTTCAGTGGGACCGCCATCCTGCACTTGAACATATTCAGGCAGTTCAACACCGACTGAGCACATCCTTGCATGAGGCGTGCTCGACCGAATCCAACTCCATACCGAGAAAAAAGATCTTCTGCGCCAAGGAGAGTTTGCTTTTTTCCCAGTTGACCCAAAGGCCCAACCGGCTGAGGTGCGAAAGTACCAAGTCCCTGTGTGCACACAACTGATCCTGAGACTGAGCTAGTATGAGCCAGACGTCGAGGTAGTTGAGAATGCGAACGCCCTGTTCTCTCAGGGGAACAATGGCTGCTTCCATAACTTACGTGAAGACACGGGGCGACAGCCCGGAGGGTAGGACCTCGAACTGATATACTCGTTCTTCGAACGCGAACCGCAGCAATAGTCTGTGGTGCGGAAGGATAGACACATTAAAGTACGCGTCCTTCAGGTCGATCGCTGCAAACCAATCTCGGGGACTAGTGCACCCGAAGATGCGTTCCTGCGTCAACATCTTGAACGGTAACCGGTGAAGGGCCCAGTTCAAGACACGCAGGTCCAAGATTGGTCGTAAACCACCGCCTTTCTTGGGTATAACAAAGTAGGAGCTTTAAAACCCGATCACCATATCGGCTGGAGGGACCAGCTCTATCACATCCTTCGCCAGTAGGACTGCGATCTCCGCACGCAAGACAGGAGCATCAGCCGCCTTCACTGATGTGAAGCAGATCTACTGAATCGCATAGCTGAGTCTGATGGTCCGCAGGAGCCAGCGAGACGGTTTGGGTAGCCAGGCACCCAGACACCACACAAGCTGGACCAGCGGGATCACCGACGTACCCGCGGTGGGGCAGCGATGTGGAACGCAGGGACCTGAAGAAAGGTCTGAGTGCAGTGCAACACTTACCTGGTTCCACAGTTTGGCAGAGGATGCGTGAGTAGGGTCTTTGATGACGCACTCGAACCACTCGCTGCTGCCTTCTGGCCAGAGAGGAGAATGAGTGTGGTACGTTGTTGGTCCGCCCGCGACTCTCCATGCCCTCGTGGGACCCAGAGACAGAGAAAACCTCTCCTGTCGAGATTTTTGGAAACCAGATTCTCCACCCGGTTCTCCTCTGCATTCACCATCCCCCAAAGAGCAGTTCCCTCTCTCTCTGGACCTCCTGCTCTTCCGTTCACCGCCAGGTTGACGGGGGCCTGGACGGGCGGGGTGGCCTGCCTATGCCCAGCTCCAAGGCGCCGCTTGCTTGAGGCTGCTGCGGGTGCGGCACGGGAGTGGGGGTGGACGCAGGGGGCCGCTCTCGGCAATGAGCAGGCTGGGATCGCCTCAGTAACCTAGAGGAACTGAACTTTGTTGACGTCCCTCATGTCGACCAGACACAGCCAGAGGTGACACTCCTGGACCACAAGTGTGGACATCGCACGACCCAGAGAACTCGTGGTGACCATCGTCGCTCAGAACGCGAGATCAGTTGCGGTTCGGAGCTCTTTTAGAACATCCGGATCGTGACTACCCTCGTGCAGGTCCCTCAGTGCTTTAGCCTGTAGAACCTGCAGTAACGCCGTAGCGTGTAAGGTGGAGGCAGCTTCTCCACAGGCCGTATATGCATCGCCGGACAGACCAGATGAGTACCTACAGACCCGGGACACAACTGCCAGCACAAACAGGGGGTGGTGCAGCCTGATGCGTGCAACCCACTCGACACGAGAAACCTCCACTGCTGAAACGCCGTACTGCCAACACGAAGAGCTCTCAAAGAGCACACTGAACTCGTTCAGTCTTCTCTCAGTCGAGTAGTCAGGAGCAAAACTAAATGTAAAGTCTAAATGTAGATATTGTAAATCGCGCAGCGCACACACAGAAACATTGTGGCGCACAAACTTTTATTAATAAAATAGCTTCTACACTAGACACATGTAATTCTCTCGCATGCACTAATTATTTCAAATAAATTATATAATTAATTCATTGAAATAAATGTGATCTTACCGCAGTACTTCCCCTATGTGTCTGATTTAAAGCAGGCAGAATGCTAACGAGCCATAACTGATGAAAATTACAGTATTTTTTACTGTTTGCCTCCAAGTCCTATATTAACCCTTTAGGCGCCAGGTTTTTTTTGGAAAAATGCTGGATTTTGACATCAAGATTTCAAAAGCTTGTGGCTTGAAAGGGGTTTAACTCACCGCATTACTCCCCCTCTATGTCTGATTAAAAGCAAGAAGAATGCTAAGGAGCCATAACTGATGAAAATTACAGTATTTTTTACTGTTTGCCTCCAAGTCCTATATTAAAATCTTTTAAGGCATATGCTAGCTGTGGATTATCCCTTACATTTAATGTATGCATGCCCTTACTGTTGAATGTTGAATGAACAGTGTGAATTCTCATGTGGTACTTACGGGAGTATGCATTTGCGAAACTCTTCCCACAATACTTGCAAAAGTAAGGCTTCTCTCCAGTGTGAACTCTCATGTGAACTTTAAGGTTTTGTTTTGCAGGGAAACTCTTTCCACACTGTTCGCATGTATAAGGTTTCGCTCTAGTGTGAATGTTCATGTGAAATTGAAGGCTGCTTTTCTGTGTAAAACTCTTTCCACACTGATGGCAAGTGTAAGGTTTCTCTCCCGAGTGAGTTCTCATGTGTCTTTGAAGGTTTGTTTTTCGACTGAAAACATTTCCACACTGTTGGCAGGGGAATGGCTTCTCTCCCGAGTGAGTTCTCATGTGATTTTGAAGGGCTGCTTTTTGAGCAAAGCTCTTTCCACACTGTTGGCAGGTGTAAGGCTTCTCTCCAGTGTGAACTCTCACGTGCATTTGAAGTTTTCGTTTTTCATCAAAACTCCTCCGGTGTTGTCTCCTTGCGTCGGCAGCATCTGGACCAAAAAGCTGCAATTGAACAAACCATACAGACTACAGCCAACTGCAAACTAACACGTACATTCTGTGCGAGAACAATTAGCTGTCTATATCAGCAGCTATCAATAGTATGCATTCATCATTCAAAAGGAGAAACCGAAACAAGAATATACAAGATATATGAAACGTAAATAAAGCAGCGCTTGCTTACCATTTTGAATATCAGTTATGTTGATAACTTTATTCATTTTTAGCCGCTCACGTTGTTATGAATATATTCACATACTTGATATAGTGATCTGTCACAACATGGCAAATAGCATGCACACATAAGCTGGTTGTGAGCAATGACTGAGATACAGCAATTAGGAAAACTTCTTACGGTTTACTAGGGAAACTGCATGGTGGAATAAATGTCATCTTTTTATTACAACCATTAAAAAACTTGGCGGAATTCATGTGACCGTTGCACCTATTGTTCATACATTTTCATAACTGGCGTTTTTTACTTTTGTCTTGTGTGCTGAACTCAGAAGAAGACGTGCTGAGAGGAATAAGCCAGAATTTACCTCAGAAGAAGACGCGCTGAGAGGACTAAGCCAGAATTTACCTTAGAAGACGACACACTGACAGGAATAAGCCAGAAATTACCTCAGAAGAAGACGCGCTGAGAGGAAATAAACAGGAATTTACCTCAGAAGACGACGCGCTGAGAGGAATAAGCCAGAATTTACCTCAGAAGAAGACGCGCTGAGAGGACTAAGCCAGAATTTACCTTAGAAGACGACACACTGACAGGAATAAGCCAGAAATTACCTCAGAAGAAGACGCGCTGATTTATGACGTGCTTAACAATAATAATTTTAGTTCCCCAGATATAAAATGTTTTTGTATTGTAGCCTATAATACATACAAAGCAAGCTTGTGTTTATGACTATAAAATCATATTTTTAAATTTATGAGTGGCCAATATTAATGATTGCTAATGTAATATAGATGCTCATATATCAACATTACGTTTACATTACATTTAGTCATTTAGCAGACGATTTTATCCAAAACGACTTACAAATGAGGACAACAGAAGCAATCAAAATTTGTGTCAACATTCTAAGAATGATGTAATTTTACTCTTAATCCTAGATTTAAGAATACGAGTGATTCATAAAGGTTCCGAAGTGTTAAAACTAGGTCTCGGCTCCTAAATTATTTAAGAGAGCTGGAGAGGTCTCCTAATCTAGTTAGGAGTAACAAGACGGCAGCAAAGAGGAGCAGACGCACACTTTCCAGCAGTGCAGCGGTGATGACAGTACGCAGACACAACTGGCCAAAAGTGATGTGTGGAGGGGTTTTTTTATGACCCCAAACATCAAAATACAAAGGACAAAAAAACACCGATGGACGCAGTGTTGCCAACTGCTTTCAATTGAAGGTAGCTGAAACTGAAGCTAAACTGGTCACTTGATGTTGCTAATGACCTCATAAAGGTGAGTTCGTCTTATTATAGGTCAGTTCGCCTTTATGACGTCATGGGAGAGTCTCGGATGTAGATGAGGTCTGTCCAAGAGATTGATTTTGTTGTTAGGCTTTTGAAAAAAAAAAGTCTCTAAAGGGGTGAAGTCATTCCCTGTTGAAAAAAACAACATATGCTGGTTAGGTATGTTTTGACGTGGGACGCTGGTTTAAGCTGGTCTTTTGCTGGTTTATGCTGGTCCTTTGCCAGCACATGACCAGCATAAACCAGCAAAAGGACCAGCATCCCAGCGTCAAAACATACCTAACCAGCATATGCTGTTTTTTTTTCAACAAGGTTAACAAAATCACTAAATCAGCAACATTTCATTGGTCCTCTTGTTTTTGCATGTGTTCATTATTTATTTGTATAACAGCATGGCCAAAAAATTATGACTGCACTATTTGGCATGTTTCATTGCATTATCACAAATAAAACAACTGACTCTAAGCAACTAAAGTGAAAGTGACGTGACATGTGGCCAAGTATGGTGACCCATACTTGGAATTAGCAGCAGTGAACACACACCCGGAGCAGTGCAATACTATGCAATATGCTTACAAAATCTTCACTTTTTTTTTCTTTTAAATTAAGGGTGAAGATGTCCAATTTCCTAGGCTGGACATCACTTTTGACCACTACTATATGGCAGTTTAATGACTTTCCAACCGACCGCCAAATTATATTGCAAAAACAAGCCACTTTTATGAGGATTGTGGGCTCTCCTGGAGTTGTTGGAGCTACTGATGGAACTCATGTTCACATCATCGATCCAACTGTAAACGAGGAGACATACTAATAGAAAACGAAGCATCAGTAATAATCGTCATGTTAATTGTAAATATTCATTGTAGTCCTTAGTTCATAACACTTAAGTGCCACCTCAGTCAACACTTAAATCAGTCATAGACTTTACTGAAAGTTGCTTTTAGCTTCTTTATAAAAGTCTCCTACTCTTAGAAACGTCCTACTTTTTACGAAGAATTTTTTGACACTTAAGTCTATTCTTAAGAGCATTTCTGAGAAGTTGTATACATACGGGCCCAGATTCTGCCACAGTTGACTAAAAATATGATTCTGTACGTCGCTATCAAGACTGTTCATTTGTAGCGGTTCAACAGAGACGCCAGAAAACTGAAGTCTGTTCCAGAAGCTTTGTGTTTCTCAGACAGAAGCTCTAACATCAGAAGGTGACAAAAATAAACACAACAATCTCATTTTACATGAATCTTCAGAACTAAAAAACAGCTTCCGTTGTTCGACACAATCACATTTTGCATGACACCGTTCCTGTGGTGTGTCTCGTGAAAGAAAGTGCAGGAATCCTCAGGTTGAGCGCAGCACAGAGAGTCAGAGGAAGAACATTGTGAGACGTGTTTCCACATAGTGATGTAGATATGTGGGGGCGTGTTAGAACGAGCCGATTTAGGTAGGCGTGGTTAACTCTTAACTTTTATAAAGAATATCTCTTTGGATTTGAGACTTTAGTCTTTGCAACTTTACAGATCTTCTTTATGCACCAATGAATGAATGAATGAATGAATGATGCATTTATATAGCGCTTTACTGTGTATTGTTGTACACCCAAAGCGCTTTACAATCATGTACAGCTCAATGTTCAGCGGCAGCTGTCACAGCTGAACAGAGCTCTGTTTGACCGCTCCGAGTCCTTCAGATGCAGCCTTTGATATAGTTAGCAAACATTTGTTAATATTCTGACAAAATGTTGATACTTTCATTTTCAAAATAATCAGAGGTGGACTGTGAGGAAGTACATTCGTTAAGTATACTCGTACAAATATGAAGTACTACGTTTTCTTTTTTTCTCACAGACAGCAACACTAAAAATATGGTATTTTACAACATGATGCATTGTTGTAGATTAAACTACCCAACAATATATTTTTAGTAGGCAACTTTAAATTTAATAACCTTGAACATATTCAGAAGTAAAATGCAAAACGCACATTAGTGCAGCAGTAATATTAATGCAAAACCATCCTGACGAATTCTTTTTTTCAGAACAATACTGTAGATAACTTTACTTTTACTCTCAATACCTTAAGAAGATAATACTTTACTTAAAGGATAGTTCAGCCAAAAATTTTAATTCTGTAATCATTTACTCACCCTCAAGTTGTTCCAGGTTTGCAATTTTCATATTTGGGTGAACTATCTCTTTAACTAAGGTTATACATATGAGTAGTAGATTTTCCCCAATGTGGTATTAGTAGTTACTAAAAGTAGTTTACTAAAGTATCTCAATATTTCTTCTACTAATTACCGGTACTTTGTCATAGCTCTAAACAATTTCT